CCCCAAGCCCTAAACCCCTCAACCCGAAACCCCTAAGCCCCAAAACCCTAAACCCCAAAAAGCCCCCAAACCCCCCGGGAGGAAGTCCCTGCAAATCCCCAGGCTCTGCATCGAGCATGAGCTTGCCGGCACCTTGAGGGGAGCATGGTCGGGGCCGCAGCTTTCTGAGAGGATCCTCTTTGGGTCCCCTAGCCTGGGTTTAGGGTTTTGGGTTTAGGTTTCGGGTTTTGGGTTTAGGGTTTTGGGGTTAAGGTTTGGGGTTTGGGGCTTAGGGTGTGGGTTTGGGTCTCCTAGGCTGGGGCCCGCATTGTACCAGCAGAGTCATGCCCAGGTGCGACCCGGACCATTCCAATTTCAGCAGCGGCCTCTTCGAGTGGACCCGGTTGAGACTGGTTTGGGGCACCGTTCCCCAGCTGCAGAATCAACGCTTCGCATGGCATGCATAGATCCAGCTGGTCGACCTACACCTGCAAATCAAATCCCAAATCCTCCAAGAGTTTATAGTGCTTGCTGGCCCAAACACCCTGAGCCCTTGGACTTCAGTAGGGGTGTGGAGTTCTCTCATCCAGTCCTCTTGAGCCAAGGGGCTGCTCTCCGTGACCGGAATCCTCTTGGCCATCTTGGCACAAGTTGGCTGCTGCCGTCCAAAGCCGGAGCCTTACATGAAACATGCTAGGATAGACCCTCAAGTCTTAACAAAGTTAAGTTAATGTATAGTAGAATAGAGTAGGTTATGTAATACTCTGCTATGTTGTTCTATAACGACATGTAATCTGATATACTAGAACAAGTATATAATTATAGCACAACATAGTGTAACATAGTGTAATATCACACCATAAGACACAATATAACATAACAGAATATAACATAGCATGTCATAGTATAATATGATTTTTCTGACATAGCCATATATTTATAAACCACAGCATAATAACTCAACATAGGATGATACAATATATCATAATATGACAGAACACAACATGACAAAGTTTATACAACACAGTAGACTATGATAAAAGGTAAAAAATCTGAGAGAGCGTCGGGATACAGGCCCGTGTTTTCGAGCAAAATAAGAGATCTTTTCGTGATTCTCAATTTGCCTGCAGAGCGACGCTTTCTGAAAACATAGTAGTCTGCAATAGTATCTCATGTGTGTAATATTGTATAATGTCAACTAATCCTATATATGATGATGTAGCATTATAGAATATTGTGAAATATGATGTGGAATTCTGCAGAGTTATTATATGTATATATATATACACATATACAACCTTATTTATAACATGATATAATATATGTTAGTGCAACAAAAGATAAAATATATGATACAGCACAGTGTATTGTCGTACATAAGTTGTTATCAGTATGTTATCACAGGTCACATGCAACTTATAACATATATTCGATAACATACAATAAAGAGTAAGATGCAAGACATCCATTTCTAAAGCTGCTATGTAAAGTACATAGCATAGCATATAATACACAATATACAGTATAATATATGTATACATACGTACATACATACATACATACATACATGCATACATGAACCATGTGCAATATACTATCTGCCGTGTATAACTCATTGTACATAATAATATATGCGCATATATGTATATATGAATATTATATATGTATTATAGTAATAGGTGTATGTATGTGTGTATGTACGTATGTATGTATGTATGTACGTATGTATGTATGTATGTATGTATGTATGTGCGTATGTATGTGTGTATGTGTGTATGTGTGTATGTATATATATATATATACTTGCAACATGTTATAATGAATCATATATATATGTATGTATGTATGTACGTATGTATGTATGTACGTATGTATGTATGTGTGTATGTATGTGTGTATGTGTGTATGTGTGTATGTATATATATATATACACACACACCTGCAACATGTTATAATGAATTATATATACATATGTATGTATGTATGTATGTACGTACGCATGTATGTATGTATGTATGTATGTATGTATGTATGTGTGTATGTATGTATGTATGTATGTATGTATGTATGTATATAACACACACTATACAAAACATTATAAACGTTTCGATTTAAAGTATCTAGTATAAACACCGGAACATGTCCTTTACCTTTTTAACAGTATGTAACATAAGATTTTCCAACATAGGATAACATGATAGATTGTGACAGAGTAAAATAGAATCTATCATAATATATTACCCAATGTAGCGGTTCTGAACCCGAAGTACTCTGTGTTGAGACTACAGCAGATGTTTCCCTTTAAAGACGGTTAATGCAGCTTAATAACAACTTGTCTTTGTGCACGTAGCCCTTTGTGTACGATTTCTCATGCAGCAGACGATGGAACCGTGGCAAACTTCGGGACCACGGCACTGGTTCGTGGACGGTCCCTGCGATTGGAGTGCAAGACATTCAGGCATTCAACACTAAATCACAGAACCAGTTGATTGGGCCCAAGCCAGTAGGCTGACGGAACAATTTTTTGGGCCCTTACCTGGCCGTGAGTTGGAAGCGAGTGGTGCATGTTTCAATGAATCGAGGCCTGTGTAATCGCCATAAGAGGGCCAAAGAACTTCTTCGGAACTGGTTGAACGGTTTGGGGCACATGTGTGCGCCTCTCGAGAGGAGGGATGCCGCTTTGTCGCAGGGTTTAGGGTTTAGTATGAACCAATGAATTATCACAGAGAAAGAATAGCCCGGGGTCTGGGTTGGTTTAGAACCCCTAAACCCTAAAGCCCAAAACAGAGTTGGTGCTCGCTAGGCCTGGACGATACTGGCCACACCTTCTAAGGCGATCCTTGCAGCAGGCAGGGGGGGAGTCTTGCCTCGCATGCCACTGGGATCCGGAGCCACAGAAATCCAAAATCTGAGAGGTTTTGCTGCGAGGCCTGCCTGTTTTTTGGCTGTAGGATGTAGGCTCATCTTGCCCGATTTCGGCACTCCACTGCCTGCGCACAGGAGCGATCTGTTATACCATCTATCTTTGCGTACCTTGGGTGCTCTTGGAGGTGCCTGTTGGTTGCCCTTTTGTGCTTTCACTTTCCATCTTTCTGCATCGGCGCAGATGCAGAACCTCTCCTGGGGCACCCGTGGCATTCTGCCAGACATAAGCCATGGTCATGGCGCCGAGTGGGTCCAGTTCTACTGCTGGAGGTGCGAGACTGGGAGATGCCTTCCTACCTTTCTGATTCTACAAGGAGAACATAGCATCATTATCATAATTGTTATTATTGCTATGACTATTGTTACTATGATTACTGTTATTCTTGTTATGATTATTACTCTCTATTTCTAGTACCACACGCGACACCTGCCGGAGGTACGTAACGCACTCTGTTGCCACAACGCCCACTTGCGTGGACTACGAGACTTCCAACGATCAACCTTGGTGAGCTGAGCTCCGGAATCCAGAGGTGTTGATCTCACGAGTACCTTGCAGTGCGGGAGGTACTTTCATGGGGAGAACAGCTTGTACATGAATGCGACCTGGGTGGCAAAGCAAAAGATTGGAAGCCCAACGGGCAAGAAACTCAGTTGTCAGGAATGAGGTTGGAGTCATATACTGGCAGAAGCGAGCCAGCTGATGAGGTGTTGATCCCTGTGGCGCCACGGGGTACACCACACCGATGTGCCCTTCCTAGTTTTGGCTCGCCTGCGAGTGCAGTGGAGTCCACGTGCCAAGTATGCTGTTTGGATCCCATTCGCGCCAGGTTTCTAGCTATCAATGGCATCGTGCTGGCGGCTGGCTTGCCTTCTGCTTAGGTTCCGTCTCAGGCTGCAGTATTGATAGTAGGGCAGGCGGCACGATGATTGTCCTCCTCCTCCTCCTTCATCATCACCATCAGCATCATCCAGTATTCGTTATCACCTCCAGTCATCTTCCTCAGAAGCTTAGTGCTCAGCATCATCATCTCCGTCACCGCCACCACCACCATGTTCATCATCATGAGTAGCAGAGTTATGGACATCGCAACCAGCAGTGAGATACAGGTCCGGATCCAGCTAAGTGCCGGTGCAGCAGCTGCTGCTGCTTCTGTGCAGCTGGCATCACTACTACTACCTACTACTTGTGCTGCCTCCTACTACTACTACTACTACTACTACTACTTGTACTTCCTACTACTTCTCCCGACGACGACAACTTGTTAGACTGCAGTCAGTGCTTCCTGTAGACTGGATAGACTGCGCCGACTGCCTGGATCTCCAAGGGTTGGGCTGCTCTTCGGGCTCTCCCTGTTGCGATGGTGCGCCCCTTTGTGCCCGGTGCTCTGAAGGCTGCTGCTTCTGGCACAGAGCCAGGTACCTCACCGTGGCTGGGCCCCTGTGGAGTGCCTTTTTCGTGGCTCAGGCAGGACTCCGTGCAGAGTGTTTAGACTATTACTACTACTCTTAGTATCACTTTACTATGATTACTATCACTATTTCTATTGCTATTACTAATACCTTTACTATTACGATTACCATCACTACTGCGATTACTATGACTACTACGATTACTATAGCTATGACTACTACGATTATTATTGCTACTCCTATTCCTGTTCCTATTACTTTTACTTACATTACTATCACTATTCCTCTTACTGGTAGTATTCCTATTAATAATTACTCTTACTATCACTATAACTATTACTATAACTGTTCCTTTTACTATTACCATTACTATTCCGATTACTACTACCATTCCTATCACTATTTCTATTCCTATTGCCAGTACTATTCCTATTAGCTGCAGTGCCGACTTCTTCGCTCAAGGTGGCACAGTGGCAAATCTTCGGCCCGCTCACAGGGCAGGTGTCTGCCTCTGGCCGTGCTAGTGCTACAGTCATCATCATACAAATCATGCTAACGATAAGGGTAAGAGCCAGAATAATAATAATAACAAGGATATGATACTGGTATGAATTATAAGATTGAAAGAATCGCACAATAAGAATAATAAGCAAAGCCCATTGGCTCACTTGTGATGAAACGTTTCCACCACCTCCCAGGCTCTGATAGCTCCTGGCCTGCTGTGCTGCTGTCATGGTTGCCATGAGTTGCTTTGCCAGGATGTCATTAGCTAAAGCAAGCGCATGGGGAAGCAGGCGCTTTACGGAGACCGACAGTTCATGGGTGTGGCTCTCGGATGCTTGTGGAGAATTGCAGAGCTTGGCGTATTTTGCATGACCCTACGTCGCAAGCATCGCGACAACTCGATCTCCGTGGTGTTACGTACCAAAACCCCAAGCTCCATGGCAACAATCAAGCTACGAGGTGTTCCACCTTTGCATATTCGGTGCCGTGCTAACGCTTCCTGTGTATGTCAGGGTCCAAGAATCAGATGACTGTGCGATCGCCGAAGCTTGCAGCATGTTGCAGCTGAGGATATGCTAATAAAGCTCATGCACTCCTACTATCGACGTTCCTTGCAGGCTTGCTAGGGCGGGAAGGCTTTCTTGCATCACATTTGCTCCTGTGAAGCCCACCAGTTGGCCTACTTCTGTGACGGCGAAGACATTGACTTCACTGCCACAGCAGAGTGCCTGAATCTCAGCGCGTTTCAATGCCAGTCATCGTCGGAGTTGACATGACAACGACTGCTTGCCTACGATGGTTGCCAGTGGTCCTCTTCTAGGTGTCTACCCATCCTCAACTCTGAGCTTTCATGCCCCCTGAAGAATCCTGAGGTCCATACTGTCCCCATCTTTTGCTGGGGGCGTGTGTTAATGACTTCAGAACGCCTCAAGAGGACTGCTCAGGATTTGGGATTACAGGCGTTGCAGGTTTATGGGGTTCAGGGAGTGTCGGGTTCAGATTGTGCTGCCACACTTGCGGCCGATTGATCAGGAGAAGCTCCTCTGCGATTTTACACTTAGTCCTCTATATCTGGGCTGCCCACGCACAGGCCACGGCTGTTTCAGTCCTACGTGCTCCTGAAAGCATTCGGCGCTCTCCAGGTTTCTTTTGTACGGACTCCGGGATGAGGCAAGCCGATTACGATTGTCCAGTCTCACAAGCCGATAGGGTCTCGACGTCAGCCATGGTAGCTGCCCCGAAGGGTTCTTAGCCGTGGCTCTCTCGCAAGGCTTGGCTATGCAATGTCCGTCTCCGCGGTTGGCTGCTGAGACGAGCATGCTTGACTGTGTCTTGTTGCTACAGGTGTCGTAGCAGCCTGCCGGCAGCAGCAGTAGCAGTGGTGACGGTGGTAGTGGTAGTGGTAGTGGTAGTGGTGGTGGTGGTAGTAGTGGTAGTAGTCGTAGTAGTAGTCGTCGTCGTCGTCTATAGAAGTAGTTCAGCAACAGTTCAGCAGTCGTCGGAGCAGTAGGGGTAGTAGTAAGAGCAGCAGTTGCAGCAGCAGCGCAGAAGCAGTAGCAGAAGCAGCACTAGCAGCAAAATCCCTATCAGTAGCAGTAGCAGTAGCAGTGGTAGTAGCAGCAGTAGCAGTTGTTGTAGTTGCAGGAGCAACTTCGTCGTCGCAGTTGCAGTCGTCGTCGCAGTTGCAGTCGCAGTCGTGTCAGATTAGGAGGAGGAAGCGGAGGAGGGGGAGGAGGAGGAGTTGCACTGGTAATAGAAGCGGCAGTCATGAAGTACTGTAGTTCTTGTCAGCACTCTGCCCACCGACTACTGGTAGCTGTCGCTGGATGTCATAAGTTACAAAGCTCTTGAAGGCTGCACCTGACACCTTCATGCTCACCAAGTTTGACGTGCCGCCCCCGCTGCAGAGTCAGAGAGCTCTCTAGCTGCGAGATGTTCCAAATGGTGTGGCAGCCAAACCCTAGAGACCCTGGGGCCCTAAAGCTCCACACGGCCTTTGCCCGAAACCCCGCACTCATCTTCGGCAGGTGCTTCCCATCCGCTTTGTTCTTTCTGTATTCTCACTTCGGTTGGGTGACTTTGTCGCCTGGCCGCAGGGAGAATCCGGGTCCAGGTCTTCCTCCTCATGGTTATCATGGTGTTTTTTTTTCATGAGTGTGATCATCATGGAAATGTGTTGTGACTCTTTCCTAGAGCTCGGATGCTTGGTTTTTGACAGCTGTGGGCTCGTTGATGCTTCTCACTGTCTCAGGTCAGGTTGGAGCCCGACGGCAAAGTGGCCATCAAAGCCCCGTCGCTCAGTTTTCGCAGAGCGCATTAGACAGCCCGAAACCACAAATCCTAAACCCTAAACCCTAAACCTCCGTGAAAGGTGGGCAGAACGGTTCGTCGCTTGGAGGAGGCACCGCCGCTCTGCCGGGCTCTTTCATTTGTGCCGTCTCTCTCCTTGTGAAGAATTCTTCACAAGGGTTGCTAGAAGTTTCGCTATAATGCAGTTTCAATCAGGGAAGTTTCCCTTATCCCCGAATGCAGATTCAAGAGGCCGCCGTTCATAGCTCTACTGGAGGGCATGCCGAGCAGCATGGGCTTTAGCCTCAGTATCTCCTAACCTGGAATGCTCGATGAATGCCTTGACCCTGCAAGGCAAACTGCACAGTATCTAGCGCAGAGAATGTTGGACCGTGCCATTGCCGGAGCCTCAGACCGTGCCAAATCATGAGATTTTTGTTGATGTATCATGTGATTCTGTGGTATAGTATAGTAAAGAATGGAATAGTATAGTATAGTATAATACAGTATAATACTGTATAGTATGTCCATTATCGTATAGATAGTGCTGCTGTCCCATGCGTTCCAGAAGCGCTGGTGGTCTCGACGGCCTAGGTGGCCTTGCCTTTTATCGGCTGCCACCTCCTCTTGGTGTTGGGGAAACAGCTGGGCAATGCTGGCGACTGCTTCTCCTACGGCGTCGTACTGCAGGCTCCAGAGCTCTGGGTTTAAAAGAAGCGGCATTCCGTTTCTTCGGCTTTCTCTGCGCCCTCTTGGCACAGATTGGCTTGTCGGGGTTCGTGGTCGTGCAGCATCCTCAGATGCAACGCGCGACTGCTTTCATCGTCACCTTCAGCCTTTCCAAGGCTGGTACTGAGCTTCTTCGCTTTTGCTCCGCAGATGAGGCACCGCAGAGATCTCTGAGCTCGGACTCTTTGCTGCGGCTGTGAGATGTGCTCTGACAGGTGGCTCATGCGAAGTCCCCTGATTCTGCAGTTTCAGATGATGTTCATGCATCGGCACCAGGCACTTCCGCCTCGCAAGCACCAGAAAGTGTCCATGAACGCATCCCTTTCTCTACAAACCCTAGGCCCTAAACCCCTAACCCCTTGCAGGCTGCGCGGCCACCGCCGTATGTTTACCTGTCGGATGGGGGACTCATCGAGTGCTTGGGCGTGCTGATGCTGCTCCGGAGGTTCAGCCGTGCTGCAGTGAACGAGAGCGAGACAAGTTTTCCAAGCCATGCAGGGGTCGGAGTAATTACGAACAGTATTCCCTCATAGCCCCTAGTTAATACGGAATAATATCACCAAGATCTCTATTTCAATTATGAAGGCCTCTGTAGTAGTCCTCGATATCATTGCAACATAGGGCTACCATCGGGTACTCTTTGGAAGTCTTCGACTGGACGCATTTCTTGTGGTTTCTGGCTATGCTCACGTGCTGTGGACTTTGACTCTGCCCCCTAAACCGTAAACACCTAACATGCTCTAAACCCCAAACCCCTAAAAGGCCCTAAACCCTAAGCGCCTAAACCCCTAAACCCTAAACCACCGTTGCCCTAAACCCAGACATGCATCACCCGTGAAGCCACGCCCTCGGAAGGCGCATGCCGCTCATCCTTTGTTCGGACGCTTGCGAGGAGCGGACGGATTACCTAGACCCATAAATGTAGGACCTTGGGATCCTATAATAAGAAACTAAGGTAACAATAAGGCAACCAAAAAAAGGTACTACATTTAAGGGTCTAGGTACTGTTTAGGGTTTAGAGGCTTAAGGTTATATGATCAGAGCCTGAGGGGTACTGCAAAGAGGATTGTTGGCTGCCATATCAATGATGCAAGCAAGATAGAAGGCCCTAAACTCAGAAGGCTTAACAATGCATTGTGTTGCAGCACAGAAGGTAAGCCCCGTCCAGTCTTGGTGTGCTGAAGAAGATGCCATGCCTGATCGTACATTGTCCGAGTTCCACCTATGAAAGTCATTCAGTGTCATTTTTCTTGGTTTTACGTTACTCTCGCTATTCTGACTGTATGATTCCTATTTTAGATTAACTGGATACTTCTTATGAGTTCGTTTCATGTCTCACCATCCTTTAATGCTACTTCTTCTCACTGGAGCTGTTGATTTTCACAGTATTTTACCATCGTGGCTAGATGCCACTCTCGACCTGCAAGTGTGGGCAGCGACGCAACTGCCCTTGCTTGGACAGATGGCTTTTCGTGGAGACGGAAGGAATTGTCAGACAGGTAGTCATAATAGGGATGATACTGCAATGGTCTTACTGGCAGTTGTGACCTGCAGCTTCGGCTCTTCTTGCTGTGTGCTCAAGCCACGTCGACCAAGCGATTGCACGCATTTGTGCGGCTTGAGGACATGAGCTTGACCTTGCGAGCACTTCGCGACACCATCGAGCTTGCCAGAGAGGACCCGGGTCGAAGACCGTGGTTGACCAATGTTAACAGGGAGTCTATATGGGAAGATTGGCCGTCCTCGGCGTAGTGAGCGTCCTTTCCTGTCAGAAGCAACTCAAACGTTGCTTGTGGTTGTTAAACTCGGTGGCCCTTGTCGGGAAAGCTGCGTAGAGCTTAAAAAGGGCCCTAGCTTCGAACAACACTCCTTCGCTGCACTTAGCTAAAAAAGGGACTCTACAATCTGCGGTGAGGAACGGCTATGTTCCTTCTTCGACATGCATGACCCGAGGCAACGACGCCGATCTGCATTCACACGTGTTACGACATGTTTGCTCTTTGAGATTGTATTCACCGCTGGCATTGGTACTTGTAAGACGGCTTTGCTACTCTGAAAGGGTGCAGCGAATGAAACTCAATAGAGCGGTCAGAACTATGGGCCCGATTCAGAAAGCAGGCGCGATGTGCATCTGGCAATGGAAGAGTGGCGGAAGGGAAACAGCCTGAGCTGTGAAGCATCCATCACACGCTCGTGTCCTCGATCATAGCGTTCTGGTAAAATGCCTGCAGAAAAGGCTGTGTGACGCCTGAGGTCATTCTTCGTACCTGCGGCTCGGAATCAGGTACGAGCGCTTACCCGGTGAGGAGGCGGGTCGGCGCAGTCTAGGCTATCAGACGCAAGCAGTTTGGTTTGCGTGCAGCTCGAAACCCAAAAAAGGTTCCGGCAGCACTGCCCTCCAGGAACCCCTCGAGGGCGAGCTGCTGTACATCCGCATGCGGTTGGTGCCGTCCTTCTGTGGATGCGAGGGCTGTCAGTGCAGCTTGAGATCTGGTACAATTTGCTATGCTTGTTATTTTTACCATCATTTCTACTATGCTAATTATTGTTGTCATTACCGTTGTTATGGTTAGTAACCACCATTATTATTACTACAACTCTTACCATTGTTATTAACACGAGAACAGCAAAACTTGTTCTTGTGATTATTGACATTATCTCTACTAAAAGTAGTGCTACTGCTACTTTTTTCTGTTATTATTTCTGTTGTATGCACAATTTCGGCCTCGGCTGGGCACTGATCAGCTGAGGCGCCTGGGGACGCAGCTCTTGAGCGGCCGATCTTGGAGAAGCCCGGACCCCATTTTTGCATAGTACTTGGAGTAGGAACAGGGACAGGAACAGTAGTAGTAGCAGTGGTAGTAGTANNGTGCACATGCCGCACTGACATGTATGTGCACTCACAAATAGTAGTAGTGGTAGTAGTAGTAGTAGTAGTAGTAGTAGTGGTAGTGGTAGTAGCAGTGGTAGTGGTAGTGGTAGTGGTAGTAGTAGTAGTGGTACTGGTCGTGGTAGTGGTAGTGGTAGTGGTAGCCGGAGTCGTCACAGTAGTAGTAGTAGTCGTCGTCGTCGTCGTAGTAGTCGTTCTGGTCAATCAGGGGGTATGTCAGGATTTCCGAAACCACCCGCATCCACCCGCATTATAGGAGCACCAAAAATGCTGGCATTCACACCCGATGCTTTTTTCCTAGGCAAGAGCTGCTGCAAGACGCAGAAACGCCGCGAGGAAGTGCTTTCAGCGAACAGGCAGATTGAGGAGTGGGGCTGATGAGGCTACAGGATGACCAAGCAGGTACTCCGGAAGCTATGTCATGCTTACTGCTGTTGCTATCCTTCGCTTTTACAATAAAGCAATATCACCGATGCTGGCGAGGACAAGCTTTAGTAGTGCAACTGAGACCAACTTGGCTTAGCTCGCCCAGCTCATGTTCCTCCGCAGGCCTCACCAGCCACGGCATCGCGACCACAGTGGGGACCAGACAGCAGGCCGAGTCGACGCGGCAGACGTCGTCAACAACATGTTTTTGCCTCTCTTCAGGCCCTTTCTGGATGAGACGATGGGGGATTCTCTCGAGGCTTCTGGAAGCAGCTTCATCTCATGGTCTTAGCAGTCGAGTCGCCAAGTCGTCAAGGCTCCATCTTCCTCTCCACACAGCGGATATCGGCGCGACATGGACGGCGTTTGCTGCGAGGGCAGCTGCTGCGGGCCAGGGGCACGGCATGACGGTCAAATTCCCCACGTGTGATAAACTCTGCTGTAACGGCAGGTTTCGGAGTGCCGATGCATCTCCCTTCCCAGGTTGCGTCGATGTGGGCGAAAGTTTCCAGACTTCGGCACTGGCAACCAGCCACCTGCGATGTTTATAGTTCAGCAGGGCACTCGTGTTTGCCATAAAGCTGCGAGCCAGTTAAAGCAGTGAGGCTCCTTCGAGTCGGAGGATCCCCGTCCTGGCATTGCCAGGTTCCTCCAGCCCAAGCACTTTGCCAACCTGTGCTTTCTCGGTGCGGAGATGTCGCTGTCGCAGTCCAAGTATCTCCAATCGTTGGCCTGCGTTTCTCACGAACCACTGCATTGCGAGGAAGTTGATGGCATCCACATGCTACCATTAGCTGTAGCATGTCCGCCTGCTTTCATTCTACGTATGTCGTTGTGTGCGGTTGTTGCCGCTGTGACGCTGACACAAAAGTTGTGGCTAAGGCCAGCGGTTCGACATGCTGCGGCGAAGATGCGAGAAGCCAGGTAACGGCAAAAAAGGCGACCTTGAGCAGGGACAGCAACGAGACAAGTGACGAATAAGAGCGCTCTTGCATAGGTCAGTGGTCAGTTTACATTCAGTATTGCAGCATCATCACCACGGGTCGGTGCAACTATGAATAGCAATGCAATGGGATCAGCGTTAACAACGCAGCGATGCCTCCTTGAACTCTTAGACAGCTTGAAGTCATTGCGGCCATCTACCTTCTGGATATGATGTTATCGGCCCTAAAGGTTCACGGCCGGTGCTGCTTCTTTCCATCCACTGCTCCCCTTGTAGTAATAGTACTACTAGTAGTGTTGGTGATGGTGTTGGTGTTGTTGTTGTTGTTGTTGGTGGTGGTGGTGGTAGTGGTAGCAGGAGTAGCAGTAGCAGTAGCAGTAGCAGCAGTAGTGTAGTAGTAGTAGTAGTAGTAGTAGCAGTAGTAGTAGTAGTAGTAGTAGCAGAAGTAGAAGTAGAAGTAGAAGTAGAAGTAGTAGTCGCAGTAGTAGTAGCAGTAGTAGCAGTAGTAGTAGTAGTAGTAGTAGTAGTAGTGGTAGTGGTAGTAGTAGTAGTGTAGTAAGTAAGTAAGTAAGTAAGTAAGTAAGTAAGTAAGTAAATAAGTAAGTAAGTAAGTAAGTAAGTAAATAAGCAAGCAAGCAAGCAAGCAAGCAAGCAAGCAAGCAAGCAAGGAAGCAAGGAAGGAAGTAAGTAAGTAA